GTGGTCAGGAGCTGCTGCTTAACCTGTTCGCACTTTCGTACAGTACAGTAGCGAGGATTGGTGTAAGGCTATGAGCATGGTCGTGTTTTATATCTTTGTTTGTGGGGTGGGGGGGGGGAGCCGAGAGGAGAGAGGGAGAGAAGAGCCGAGAGAGCACCGAGTCGGCGAAGACGGAGGTGTACGAGGGCGTCTTGGCGGGTGCGGTCAGCTTCTTGCCCGTCGCGACCTCGAACTTTGGCACGCCGTGGTACTTGTCTGACGCAGCCTCTGCGGGCGGGTAGCCCTTGCCTTTGTCAGTCTTGATGTGCAGCAGGACGGGCTGCTTGCCGCCGCGGTCGCGGATGTTTTCGAGGATCGGGACGAGGTTGTCGAGATCGTGCCCGTCCACGGGGCCGATGTAGTAGAATCCGAGCTCCTGTTCACAGCTGGAGGTGTGAGTGGACGCCGTTCACAGCGCACGGGGCCGATGGAGTCGAAGCCGAGCTCCTCGAAGAGCGTGCCTCCCGACACCATGCCGCGCGCGTACTCGTCGATCTTTGCGTTGGCCTGCTGGATCTCGGACGGGAAGAGCCGGTTGATCGACTTTGCGATGTCGCGGAAGTCTTGGAACGGCTTCGAGGCGATCAGGCGAGACGTGTACGCCGAGAGCGAGCCAGCCGGCACGGTGCCTCCGGCAGAGGGGGTGCCCGTCGGCAGCGAGACCTGGCCATTGTCGTTGTAGATGACGACGATCCGCGAGTTGAGGTAGGCGGCGTTGTTCATCGCCTCGTAGGCCATGCCGCCGGTGATGGCGCCGTCGCCAATCACGGCGACCGAAGTTCGTTCCTGGTCGAGGCCTCGCAGCTCGTGCGCCACGGCCATGCCCAGCGCCGCAGAGATGGAGGTGGTGGAGTGGCCCGCGCCAAAGGCGTCGTACTCCTAAGGGGCGGGTGGGGGAGGGGGGGGGGGAGGGGGGGGTTGGGGGCGGGGGGGTTTGGGGGCTGAGCGGGGCGGGGCAGGGGCGGGGGAGTGTGTCGCAGGTGAGGCTGCTGCGGCTGCGGCTGCCGTCGCTGCTGTCATCGCTGAGCCGCTGAGCGGTGGCGCTGAGCGCCCAGCCGAGCGTGGTGCTGGCGGCGTGTTGGCATGGCTTGGGTGCGACTGTCGCCGTGTGGTGCAGGCGGTGGAACGGCATGCGGGTGGCTTTGCGCGTGTCGCAGGGAGGGGGCGGGGGGGGGAGCAGCGGGCAGGGCGGCGCGGCCGGCGTGGCGGTCGGCGGCGGCCAGGCCCGAGCAGGGGTGCCGCGGCGTCGCGGCGGGCGGGTGGGAGGAGCGCGGGCAACGCCTCCGACGGAGGTTTGCAGATCAGAGGGCGGGGCAAGGCGTCGGCAGAGGGAGTGGGTCAGAGTCACTGCGTACCGACTCTGACCGCTTGGCAAAGCCGCTGAGCCCGCCGGCCTGCCGGAGGGTGGGCATGCGCTCGCGCCGACCCGTCAGGATCTTGTGCGGGTACACCTGCAGGGGCGCACAGGCGCCAGCGGTGAGGCAGAGAGGGCACTTCCCGACAGGCCGGATCACAGGGCCGGATCAAAGGTCGCTGCTGGCACGCGCGCGGTGGGCTGCAGCGCGAGGGCGCGTCGGGTCCGAAGCGGACGGGGCGGTGGAGCAGTGCAGGTGCAGCGCCGCCGCCTCGCGGCCAGGCGAGGGCGGGGCGCGCGCCTGGTGCGACACGTCCCAGATCACCGGGTCGGCCGGCGTGTTGAAGACGTAGTGCAGCGCGACGGTGAGCTCGACGACTCCGAGCGAGGAGCCGAGGTGTCCTCCGGTTTTGGAGACGGCGTTGATGGTCTCCCACCGCAGCTCATGCGACAGCTGCTTGAGCTCCGCCAGCGAGAAGCCCTTGAGGTCGTTGGGCGTCGAGACGGTGTCCAGAAGCGGTGTGGACCGCGGCCCGGCGTACGGAGGCCCCGGCTGCTGCTGCTGCTGCATGCACGCGTGCGCACGCGACGTGGCGCACGCGGTGCGCGCGCTGCCCAGCCCGAGCGACGGGGCACTGTACAACCCGAGCAGGAGGCTCATGGAAATGCTGGAATGATGTGCGCTGGAGAAGCTTGGGCAGATCGGCGAGCACACGAGGGAGAAAAAACTTTCGGCTCTGACTGCAGTCCAAGTGTCCCTGATCGTCGGGACCCTGTCCTCCTCCCCCATCCCTCGTCTGGGTTTGTCTGTTTTCTTTCTTTCTTTCTGTCCCTGATCGTCCTTACAAGATCCTGCTTGTGCAGGTGGGGACCCTGTCCTTCTCCCACCCCGAGTGTGTGTGTGTGTGTGTGTGTGTGTGTACTTGAGTCAGTCGGTCAATCAGTCGGTCAGTGGCGAGCAGAGAGAGGAAGTTCAGATGGAAGTGGAGAGGGGAGGCGATAGCGAGGCAGCGGGGAGCAGTGGGCGGAGTGGGCTTGATGGAGCGGAGTCGAGAGGCGACATGGTGGGAGGAGGGAGCTATGCTGAGGAGGACGACGAGCTTATGCTGGAGATTTTTGCACTGCCATGTCGCAGACGACTGCTGGATCGGCCGTCGCTACGACCTTCCTGCAAAGGATCTTACAACAAAACTCCCTCGCACAACACTGGGCACGGGACTGGCGCGCACTGGCACTAACACAGGAGTTACCGGGAGCTCTCCAAGCTGTCTTGGGTGGTAGAAATGGTCCTTCTGGAGCTCGCACCACACCACCCGGCACCTCGAAATCACCGAAGGCCGCCGGCGACGCGAGCTCGCTCACAGCTCCCGGCACGTACAGCCGCCCTCCCGGACAGTACCATCTGGCAAAGAGCTGCTTCGCAGCCCGCATGATCGCAATGTTCACCGCACCGCCTCGCCCAAGCAAGGCGACGGCGGTCGCGTTCTGCGCGTCGCTGTACCACTTGCGGAATGAATTTGCGCTCGCCGTGATCGCTGACACATCGCCACCGATCGCAGCGATTGCGCCTGTGACCACCGTCCGCAGCTCACGCACCAGCTCCACGCTCACACCCTCGCGTCGGAATTCATTGAAGTAGCCGCCCATCGGGAAGGTGTCCTGCGGGGTCGAGCGGCTACGCAGCCTCGACGCCTTCAACTGGACGCTGAACCGCTGTCCTAGCTACGACGATCGCATCCACCACAGCCGCCTCGCCTTCCAGCACGTCACTACCTGGCTACGTGCCGAGTGCACTGAGGTCGGAGCGGCGACTGGCGAGGGTGTTGGATAGGTGCTGAAACAAGATTCTTTTGCGCACGGCAGCCGAGACCGCGCAGCGCAGTCCTATCAGTAACAAGCCTGAGCCGTCCCGAACCGCACTTATCTCGGGTCTGCAAGCTCACACTGGCTGGTGATGCCACCGAGAGGGCTCCAGATTGACTCCGGTGGACCCCATCCGAGGCGATTGCGAGGGCACGTTCCGGAGGTCATCATCGGCGCCATCGACCGTGATACGTCTCGTCCCGCAGCTCTCATGCGCCGAACGGATGCATGCAGTCATAATATGTAGGCCTTCTCTCCCGAAGTTTTGAGCAATAGCCGCAAACAACACTTTTTGGCACTTGCATCGCGACAAGGTCACACCGGACTTGGAGCACTTGGAGTGCGGTCAGTAACCTCACGCCCAGGACCGGGGAGCTGAGAAGCGCACCCAGTTGGCCGGACGCTCGGTATCGGGCTACGGGCTAGAGAGCCCTGACCCCTAAGAGCTAAGTAAGGGGGGGGGTGCGCGGTCGCAGGGCCATAACACGTCTCCGAGGGTTAGCCCCGCGTACCGGGTTTCCCCTTAACTGCAGGACGCTGCCCTCTTCCTCGACCGTGGGGGGGTGCGCGGTCGCAGGGCCATAACACGGGGTACACGGGTCTCCGAGAGGGCTCCGTGTACCGGGTTTCCCCTGCAGAACGCCCCCTCTTCCTAGCCCTGGGGGGTGCGCGTTCGCAGGGCCATAACAC